CTCTGCGTATTTCTTTGCGCTATGTTCATAGCCTGTAACTATGAGCATGATCGTGCCCTTCATTATTGCAAACAAAGGTAACTGTTCAAGAAATACTTTATTGCAGAGCAAATGTTATACATGATTTCTTCAATGTCTGCGCCAGACGTGCAGTCTGGCTTCGCATCTTGGCCAGCACTAGTCCAAATAGTGAGCGGGATCTGCAGAAAAAAATCAATTCCATAAGCATTAAAAATAAAAACAGGTAATATGAGAAACTTACCATCATGTCGAACATCTGCGACCTTTGATTGCGGCTTTTTCAGTTTCTCTCCAGCGTGGCGCAGCCATACTTTGATGATGGTCTCCACGTCAGCTTTGTTTGCGCACTCAACATTTGATTTCAGTGCTCCTAAAACATTGATTTGTGATGACAGTCACAGCAGAAAGCTAAGATGGTCTAGAAAAAAATCACAATTAATGTTCGTGCGAGCTACCGAGTCTATTTTCGCACAGTTGAAAAGCTCGAAGCATTCGTTTACGCGCCGGCATCTTTCCCGTCGAATTGCGGTTCATTGCTTTCCGCCATTTAAAAGAATTAATTTAAAAACACACTAACCTTTGTCTCCTGCCTTGCATTGCTGCCATCATCAATTTGGATGGAACAGCGCGGATACACAGACTTGCAGCGCTGACTAACAACTCAGTGACATATAATTTCTTCTTCCTCAAATCGTCATCATCTTCTCCTTCGCCGTTAATGAGAACATTTTAAACTTTTAGACACAAGAAACCAAATAGCCAATAAATATTAATAAGTAAATATTAAATAAATAAATGACAGCTAAAAGTAAATAAAACTAAAATTAAAAAAAAAATAAAGTTAAAAAATATTTTTTTTAGAAAATAGATTACAATTAAAAAATTAAACTTAAAAAACTATTTATTCTAATTTTTTAAGTTTTATTTCTTTTTAGTTGTCATTTATTTATTTATTTATTATTTATTTATTAATGTTTATTGGCTATTTGGTTTCAGGTGTTTAAACATTTTAAATGTTCTCATTAACGGCGAAGGATGAGACGATGACGATATGAGGAAGAAGAAATATATGACTGAGTTGTTAATCAGCGATGCGAGTTTGTTTCCTTCTTGTGTGCGTGTGACTGTATCCGCGCTGCTCCATCCAAACATGAATTACCATCTAGCCCAAGCATCCACATTATCAAGCCATCATCAACCTCGGCGCTATTTATGTTTCTGTCCTGGCTTGGCTTAGCTTGCTTGAGTCTTTCGGATGAGTGGATAATTGCCATAACGGTACACCTTGTAGTAGGCGGTAGCTTGCGCCACCTAGATTGAATGTTGCCAGCGGAACTGGATTTCGAAATACTGCGCAAATACAAAACTAATAATAATTGTAGTGCGTCCTGGTTTTATTAAAGAATTGTTTGATCAAAACTATAGTTAAAAGATGTCCTAAACTTACGCAACTACGTGTAAAATATTTGTATGTGAAATTTAGTTGAGCAGTGAACGTGAACTCTGTATACTACCTCTATTTCATTCATTTATTTGTTTAAAAACGCAATCAAATTGAGGACGTATATATTACCTCTAACTTTGTATCCTTCGTCCTCAATAAGTCCTCGGAAGGACGTTTCTAGGATGATCCAGCGACTGACGTTCTCAGGATGTCCTGAGGACGTCTTGAAAACCTTGAGGACGTTTGTACCTTTCGAGGACGTCCTGAGGATGTCGGGTGTTGTCTGGGTAGGGGCGCGCTAGTTCCTGTCAAAATGGCTGTCCTCTGGATGATCGTCGTAGAACAGCTGACCGAGGTTCGGTTGGCGAAGCGTTCGTAATTTTACTTTTGTGAAATACGAGCGATACAAGAGTCATGCGTGATGATCTCGCGTAAAGAAGAGGTAAGCATGGCACCTTCATTTGAGAGCCGATCCAAGTGTTCGATTCTCACACCGTGGTATCATCGTTGAAAGTTGCGAATATCCCGAGCAGGAAAGAAGCACGCGTCCGATATCTCGTCGTACCCTGCGCTGTTAGCGTGAGCCCAGGCTCCCTCGGTTTTTTCCACTTTCAGAGTCGGCCCGACGGCATCTGTCGAGGCTATGTGGGCCACCATCGAGTAGATCTCAGTGACTTTAGCTCGTATTAACCGCGAATAAAGACCATGCATAACAATCGAGTACAAGCCGATGTTCCCTTATTTCGCCGACAACTTCGGCAGGCTCAGTCGATCACAACGCGAAAGACGTTGAGCAAGCGGTGAAACACTTCCGCCGCTCCGGAAACACATAGCACATAACATCCCGCGAGACTTTGTGACGGAAGCACGCTACGTGAAAGCTGTAACTGACCTGTAGGGGGCACCCTCGCTCAACGAATTAAGGCTCTCCATCTCCAACCTGTCAATCATATTTCTGAGTGGAAACAAACGACGACGAATATTTGACGCTCCTCGATCGGTATGGCGAACCGAATCCAAAGTTTGCACGGTGCGGCCCGTGCCAATGAATCACCAAATGGAGACAGAATAGTGACACGATGCGGTCGTCAGGGAGGGGAGGTTTTTCGATTGTCCCAGCTTCTGCGCGAGGTTCTACATGTGGACTCCGAAATGTGATCGAAGGTTTTTGATAACACGTGAGCGTTTCGTAAGCTTCGAGATGGTACGCGCGGCCAAAGCACAACAAGAGAGTGTCTGGCATCCGAAAGACACGTCCCGCCGTTCTCCTTCTGCGAATGACAGATGTAGCGGGTTGAGCCAGGCTGCTCATAGATCATGCAGAAGACACGCTGTTCACCGCAATATCCGCGCTCAAGCATGTTCCGAGCAGCTTCATGTATGCTGCGTCTGCAGACAGTTTTTGTATCACCGATAGGAACGAATGTACAAACAGGCCTCAGACAATGTCTGCAAGCTCTCTTTAGTAAGATGTATTAGCAGTGGCAGCACGGCTTAAAGAGAAACTAAAGCGGATCTGTGTTTGGCGAAAAAACAACAACACTTAAATCGCTTTTATTTTTTTTAAATTACGAATATAACAATTATATTTCAGAATGATGCGCCAAGATTTGGCTTCAAGGATTAGGAATATAATAGGCCGATCTCACTAAGTGTTCGGCGCATGCTTGTCGCCGCCATAACATTAGTTCACAGGAGGCAGACAGCCGTGCATGCGAGTTACTTGCGAGGGCTTGGGCCTTCTCATGCTCTACACTCGCAGAGCTCCTGCGAGGTTGTCGCACGTGCAGAAAGACTAAAGTTCCCTCGATGCATTGCGGACGCGGTGGCGTAGTCAAAATTGCTGGTGAGATTGGTCTATTATATTTCAGAATGATGCCCGAAGATGCCACAACGGCGCTTTCAAAATAACGCTGAAGGCCCTCCTTCCCGTAGCGTTCGGTGCGAGGAGGAAACCCTGACGTATTATCCGGAGATCTCACCATTTCCGCGCTTTCCGCAGACTTCACCGGAGCAGTCAGAAGCGCTGCACGTGTCTTCGTACAAGAGGCACGTGTGAGGCACCTCAAACCTCTCGATAGGACGTCACACCCATCGGTCGGTTTTTAAAATTTTTCTCGCGCCTATTGGTATAGGTTTGGGTGGAATGGCCCGTGACACTCAAATTCACAAAAAAAAACAAAAATACGGTAGAATTCACCTGTAACTCGTATTTTTTCGAGGACCTCTTCAGCTTGCCTCCCTGTAAGAATGAAACAGAACCCATCCGGCGATAACAGCGCGGTTTTTCTTTCACCCGATACAACGTTTCTGACCTGCAATTACTCTTCTAGCCCATTCGTCAGATTTTCGCCGACTACCCGCCAATCACCGCTCTCCATCTCGTGGCGGAGACCGAGACAAAAAGAAAAGAAATGCGGCCTCGGGATTGCGGGAGAGGGAGAAGGGGAGAACGTGAGCTGGAAACCCCATCCTGAGGTCATCAACGTGAGTCGCCTTTTCCTTCACCTTCCCTGCTTTCCCTTCCTTTTCTCTTCTTTTTCATCCAGAGTTAGACAATGGGAGGTTTATCTCTGCCCTCCTCCTCAGAACTTCGCCTCGCAGACGACAATCCAATCATCCCGGGGGCCCGTGCAGTCAGGTCCACGTCCGAGTGATGGCTTGGCGACAAGCGACTGGACCGGCAGCCATTAATAACAAAGACAGATGTCAGGTCCAGGGACCCTGCTCCTGAGCTGTGTACGGGCAACGCAGTTGCCGACAGAGGAATTGAACAGGTTTGCCGAGATGAATGGGGCCTGCTTAATAGTGCATTCATCGTCGACGAATGACGGTAGGTCCATGGTCTTGACGAATCGAACGGGAGCTCAACTTAAGTGGGGTGTTTGCATCTCGTTAAAGCTTCGACATGTGTCTTTATTTGAGTCGGTACTTGCTACAAAGTCAGCAAGGCAGGATTTCATTGGCATCTCCCAACTGTCATTGAGCTCAACCATTGAGCTCAACTAGGTTCTTCAGGGTTACACGGTACATGAGTCCAACAATCCCAGTTGAAACCGAAACGAAACTAAAACCGGTGTTAAATGACCTTTTTAAAATTAGTTATGCAAATGAATTATATGTACACTTTTCGTTAATAATAAACGTTTAACACAAATACAATGAACTTCTTTCTTATTTTAGAGTAGAGAGGTGATAATTAGAACTTATCACAAATTCAGGCAATAGCGACACAACGAAAGTCTTATCTGCACCGGCACCACAATGGCCGCTTGATCGAGGTGGGACGCCTTTTTCGAAGGTCGATACGGGGCAGCGACTTCCGTGACGTCACTGTCGGAAAAGTAAAGACAAGCAAAACTATATATATATACATATATTTTTTTTTTAACGTTTTGCGGAGAGCTTGTTGTGGGCTGTTGTGTCCAGTGTTGGGGCGGGGGTTGGCGGCGGTTGCGGCGTGTTATTAGAGAGTATTAGCTTACCGCCTACCGGGCGACCGGGGGGTTACCGCGACCGTCACTGCAGAACTGCGTGTAGTGTTTGAGGGGCTATACTGCATTAGGATATATGCGCAGGAAGGCTTACGGTACGACGACGATGGCGTGGAGGGCAGCGGCGGCCCGCGGCCAAGCGGACACGCCGTAGGAAAAAGGACACGTCCAGCCCCGACGAACGCTGCTACACTTCTTCTTTATTCACGCGCACAAGGACGATTAAAGGAAAAGGGGCACCCTGGTGGCGATTCATAAACTCAATTACAACATTTCTCCCTTCATAAAATAAAGCAAAAGGAGAGCAAAAAGAAACGAAATCTATCAGGCTACGAAAGGTATTTACAACATATCATTTTCTTCCTTCCGTAAAATAAAAAAAAAGAGAGAACATGAAGAACGAAATAAATCTGGGAACCAAAACTATTTACAACACATCCTATCCCGCAACGTTTCATCATGAGCACACAGGGCACAAAAATTCATTCAGCACACACATAATCGCAAACATAGTCGTCGAGCCAAGCTGGTCGTTGCTTGGGTCGCTGCGGTCGGGCTGGGGGACGTGAAGCTGGATAGTCATTCATCAGCCCACCAAGAGGAATGAAAGAAGGTTGCTCCTGTTCGATATTGTCATGATCCGGAGTTGGTGAAGCAGATCTGGCAGAAGTTGATGCTTCGCTGTACTCGGTAGTTCCCCTCACTTCCGGTGACGACTTTGCGGGGGAGGACAGGTCCAGATGGCTTGGTCTAGGGGAACTTCGCTCTGATTCTACAGAGTGTAGACCAGGCGGAGGAGGAGCACTGGCGGACGCTTCACGACCAATCACGGAGGGTGGTTCAGTGCCGAAGACACCAGGAGGTGGAGAAATTCGTGAAAAGCTGACGGGAGGAACGGCAGGGATGGGCTGAAGAGGTGCACAAGGAAACAAAGCTTCATCAGCCGCCCAGGATGATCTGTGTGATCTGTGTGAGTACGTAGGTTTGAGAGGTGTACGAGTAAATTTGTCGGCATTCCATGTTGTACCATCATCAAGTGTATATGTCGAAGGACCAATTTTCGCAGAAATCATCTGTGGTTCAGAATACTTGTGCTGAAATTTACCATGGTGTCTTGGCTTATGGACCTTTACATACTGTCCTGTTTTAAAAGATGGCACTTTCACTGCTCGCCTTGAGTCCGAGTACTTTTTCATCTTTGCTTGGTACGCCTGTACCCTTTCCGGCAGGTCGCGCTGGACAATGTGCCGAGGCAGAGGTGGATCCGGAGTTGCTCGTCCTTGGATGTGTAGGCGAGTCCGATGATTTCTTGCATGCAGCAGAAACGCCGGGGTTTCACCTGTGGCCGCATGCCGAGTGCTTCGATAAACTCCAAGGTATTCAGTGATGGCCTCTCGAAGCGGACGGCGTTGCACCATTGCCAACTGGATGACGGACTTTAGGACTCTATTGAATCTTTCAACTTGCCCATTACCTTGAGGGTGATAAAGGGAAGATTTTACGTGTTTTATGCCATTTGTCTCTAGGAACTGGTTGAACTCATGGGATGTGAATTGTGGACCGTTATCTGTTGTTATCTCGAGAGGCAGGCCCTCTCGAGAAAAAATCGATTTCAAAAAGTCAACGACTGACGCTGTCGTGACGTTGTGGGACGAAGCCACTTCCGGCCACTTGCTGTGGTAGTCTACCAAAGTAATGAAGTAACGTTCTTTTGGTGGGGCTTGCTCAAACGGCCCAACGATGTCGATGGCAAGCTTGGTCCACGAACGGGAAGGAAATGCTACCGGCTGTAGGGGCGCCGGGGAAGCCTTAGCGGGCTTGTCGGTGGAGTGACAAACAGTGCAATGCTGGATTACGTTCTTGATGTTTTCTGCGATATGTGGCCACCAATAAAGTTCCTTTATAAAACTCGTCGTCCTCGATATTCCTTGATGGGTCTCATGGCCGATCTCGATAACCTTCTGGCGCAGACTCGGCGGCACGATGATCTTCTCCCCTTGGAAAAGGAGTCCGTCGACCACGGAAAGCTGATCTCTAAGAACGAAATATGACCTGAGTTCTGGAGATAGCTTGCCTTCGTCTGGCCATGATGATGAAGTATATTTCATGACTTCACGCAACGCAGGGTCTCGTGAAGTTGCCTCCTGGAAATCCTTCTCTGTGAGGGAAGCGCAGACGATGGAAACAATTTCTTCTCTAAAAGTCGTACCATCTTCAGTATCGTGAACTGGAAGGCGAGAAAGGGCATCAGCAACGACATTGTCGGTTCCTTTGCGGTACTCCATTACAAAGTTGTAATTGAAGAGCCTGGCAACCCAGCGGCTGATGCGCAATGGGCGAACGCCAGCTCCTTGCGTAGACATCAGGGTGACCAATGCTTGGTGGTCGGTCCGGATGGTAAACTGTCGACCCCAGAGGTAGATGTGCCATTTCTCGCAGGCCCAGAGGATTGCGAGAGCCTCTTTCTCCCCAGTTGAGTATTTTCGCTCTGCTTCCGTGAGAGAACGGGAGGCGAAAGCAACAGTCTTCAGCTGGGATCCATGCTGTTGCTGTAGAACAGCTCCCAGCCCGTAGTTTGAGGCGTCCGTGGACACAACAACTGGGAGGCAAGGGTCGAACATAGTCAAAATGGGTGCCTGCTGAATGCAGGCCTTGATCTGCTGGAAACTGGTGTCGGCTTCGGACGACCAGACGAAAGTCACACCCTTGCGTAGAAGACGACGAAGGGGCTCCACAATGGTGGCACAGTGCTGGATAAACTTACTGTAATATTCGACAAGGCCCAAGAATGCCTTCAACTGAGAAGGGTCACATGGCGCCGGAAAATTCAGAACGACGTCTATCTTTGACGGAAGGGGCGCTAAGCCTCCCGCCGACAGACGATGTCCGAGAAAAGTAAGCTCTTGGACACTAAAAACGGCCTTCTTATTGAGTTTCATCCCAGCTTGGGAAATTTTCTGGAGCACAGTATGCAGATTTTCATCGTGTTCTTGCTGAGACGAACCGTACACAATGACGTCGTCCAAGTAAAACTGTACGCCCTTGCAGTCTTTAAGGATATTAGACATGATCTTCTGGAACGCTGCAGGCGCGGAAGCCAGGCCAAAACAAACTCGTGTGAAACGAAAAAGGCCTTCATGAGTGATGAACGCTGTAAGGTCACGGCTTTTAGGATCAAGCCGGACCTGATAGTATGCTGATGCGAGATCCAACTTGGAAAAATGGGATGCTCCACTTAAGGAGTTCAACAGCTCGTCAATGTGTGGGAGCGGAAAAGAGTCGACAACGATGGCCTTATTCGGCGCTCGGAGATCCACACACATACGGATGCCGCCCTCTTTCTTCTTAACAACCACGATGGGCGAAACCCACTCCGAAGCACTCACGCGCTCGATAACTCCCTGCTGCTCGAGCTTCAGGATCTCCGCCGTTACTACGTCACGCAGGGTGATCGGCAGTCGACGGAGCTTGGCTTGAACTGGCGGCACATTTCGACGGACGGTGATCGTATGGGTTTGGTTTTTTACCAGACCTAGACCAGGTGAAAAGAGATCTTCGAAATGTTCGAAGCCAGCAGGAAGCTTGGAAACGTCCCTCGACGTAGCTGTGCTTGGTGTCCTCGGTGGAGATACACCTGGCACAGATGGCTCATGTGGGATACTTGAAAAACGATTTAGAGGACTGGGCATGTTCAATGGATCTGAAGATACTTTCGAAGGTCTCTGAGACTCGTCTGAAGAACCTGATGGACTGGGACTCGTTGGCTGTGAAACACCAGCCGGTGTCACATGTCCCGGGATGGTTGAACGGGAGCCACCTGTATGAACGATACGACACGTCAGAGACGCGCCCGAAAGGATAAGTTTCAGATCGCGCACGGCATCGGTGCCAAGGAGCGATCGGCCGTCACGAACAACATAAAAAAGAATAGTCGCCGACCGATCCTGAAATTTGACAAGTCCGTAAAAACAACCCAGAACGGGGATCTGCCCTCGCAGATAATGGACGAGGGTCCGTGGCGGTTTTCTTAACTGTAGTTCTTTAGAAGTCGTGAGCCGTGAAAACGTCGCTTCAGAGAGAATTGAGACTTCGGACCCAGTGTCAATCAGAAGGGACATGGGAAAATTGTTCACCTCCACGTCGACTACGAAGTTGAGGCTACGGTGACGGTCATGCTGCGAAGGACTTCTGGCCGGTCTGACGGTGTAGACAGTGGACAGGATCTCCTCGTCCTCGTCCTCCTCGGGGAAGGTCACGATGCCATGGATGGGGGCCCGCGCTCGGTTGCCTCCGTTTGGCGGAAGTCGGCGACCGGATCCTCGGCCGCGCCCAGCGGGAAAGGCCAGCTGGCGCCGATCGCAGGCGGATGGAGGTGGACGACTCCGACACACGTTGGCGAAGTGTCCGGCTTTGTCACATGAAAAACACGTAGCCCCCGACGCGGGGCATCGGTCCCGAGGGTGGGGTTGACGACCACAAAAGTCGCATAATGGTGCACCGTAACGGAAAGCACGCGCTCCCGGAGAAGCGTCACGTGCTGGTCGTCGCTCGCAAACACAAGCCGCTGGGCGCGGTTGGTGGCGCGGAGATAAATTGAAACCTTCAGCTCGGGATGAGGAGGCAACGAATTGCTGGCGCTCGCCGTCTTGGACACGGCCTGATAACGGTGACGGTCGAGCGGCGTTGTCTTGCGTCCGCGGCGCGAAGACCCGCTCAACACAAGACTGTACTTGCGAGTTTAAATTTGTTGATAGCTGGCGGTACTGATCGCAATCGCGAGAGGACTGCTCGAACTGCTGAGCAAGGAGTACAGCACGTTCGAGGCTTGGTGGCTGAGCCCCCGCAGCCTCTCGGATTAAGCGATCTTGTACCTCTGATGATCGTAGTCCAGCCAGAAAAATCTCGGCGATGCGATCTTCTAAAGTCGCTCCGAAATTGAAAAAGGAGCCCAGGTGACGCAAAGCACCAAGGAATTCCAATACGCTTTCTCCTGGGGCCTGAACCCGAGTTAAGAATTTCTTGCGTTCGAGAACTACGTTGGTAGTAAAGCCGAAGTGTCGATCTAATGACTGGAGCAGTACGTCGAATTCAGTAAGCTCGGCGCTAACGGCAGCTCCTGCTAGGTTGAAGGTGGACACGATCCGTTGACCCTCCTGGCCAAGCATTCCAATTAGCAGGGCCCGTTTCCGTCTCGGGGTGAATGCGTCGGCATCGATAGCATCTAAGTGGTTTAAAAAAATTAATTTCCACATCGCCCAGGGTAGCGCGGGGGCACCCGGTATTGACATGAATGGCGGAGGAGCTGTGCTCGCGAACGCCGACATCTTGAAATCTGTCGAGGTAGCTCGATCTCAGTTATTCCAGTTATCCTCGTCGCCAGAATGTAGTGTTTGAGGGGCTATACTGCATTAGGATATATGCGCAGGAAGGCTTACGGTACGACGACGATGGCGTGGAGGGCAGCGGCGGCCCGCGGCCAAGCGGACACGCCGTAGGAAAAAGGACACGTCCAGCCCCGACGAACGCTGCTACACTTCTTCTTTATTCACGCGCACAAGGACGATTAAAGGAAAAGGGGCACCCTGGTGGCGATTCATAAACTCAATTACAACACTGCGCATGCGCCAATTATGCCACGCTACTCGGTTTACCGCGTTTACCGTCAATAGAGAGTATTAGCTTACCGCCTACCGGGCGACCGGGGGGTTACCGCGACCGTCACTGCAGAACTGCGCATGCGCCAATTATGCCACGCTACTCGGTTTACCGCGTTTACCGTCAATGGCGACTGCCGGGCATCGGCTCCGACGGCCGGCGTAGACTAATCACTTACTGTTTAGGAATGGCGGGGGAGGCGTCTAGAAACAATCGTCGCACCACATAACATGGGAAAGGGCAAGTGAAGCGGCTCTGGTTGGCCTATAAAGGCTTTCGCCTACCCGAGGTCCATAGCAAAAATCCGGGCTTCCATGGCCGCCGGACAGGCCGGTTGAATAGATGGATGGTAACTGCTATGCCCCTTGTTTCGGGCGGCAACCTGAGCCACCTAGCCGACATTAGAGACTGGTGCTGATGGCAATGGAGCTGCGAATGCAAACAAGCAGCGTACAGGATGATGCTGTTTGCTTGCATTCGTGGGAGAACGGTGGCCGACTCTTGCATTCGACTATCACCTTTTTGACGTCGGAGCTTCCCAAAATACTACTCTCCGATTCACTCACCTTCATGCTTCAAGTAATGCGAGACTCGATCGTATTTACGTCTCAAGCTCGCTTATTTCACACGTGACTGCTTATGACTTAAAACCAATTTCCTTTTCGGACCACTGCCTTGTAAAGACCCGTTTTGGAACAGACGCACCGCGAAAGGCACAACCAAATTGGGCTTTATGGAAACTAAATACAAGACTGTTAGACAACCAAGACTTTCAGAAACGTGTCCGCGAATGTTTTAATCACGTGTCAACGAATCAGAAATTTGGCATATTTGCTCAGTGGGACTCCTTCAAACAGGAAGTTAAGAATGAAGCAATCGAATGCGCGTGCATTGCATCCTTTCATGCAAAGAAGGAAGAAGCTACACTTTTGAAAAATCTATGTATGCTTCACGAGTTGGAGTGCGAAACACCTGGGTCGCTAAACTCGTCAAGCACAACTTTGTGTCCGAAAGTTGCGGAACGCGCTAATTGGACTCTCACGACGCTGACGTCGCGCCGAGCGAGGTGTCAATCATTCGAAGCGAAGTTCATCGAGGCGCGCGTGCGGCGCGTGAGGGGCGCGAGGAGCCCGCTGATTGAACGGCTTCGCCGATGACGTAGCGCCCATTTGTCCCGACATCCCTACGCCAAGCTAAAATTAATGCTTTGCAGATTGTCCCTAGGCGACCTGCTGACGCTCAAAATCCCTCCGAAGTTTGTGTAAAAAAGAAACCTCGTTTGTCGAAGTTGTCGCTGACGTCAAAGTGACGTTTCCGAACTTTGCGAGAGCCGTGGTTTCAGCTCGAGATCTTCGCTTCGAATCGAGGCGAAGTTAAACTTTGTCAACATGGCGGTGCCGTACGCAGCGGCCGAGCTTATCTTCCGCCACCGTCGGCGTCGCTACTGAGACCACCGGGGACGCCTTTCAACTCCCCGACGACGACTTTCGGCGACAGTACCGGCTATCGAAAGCCGTTGTGCGTTGACTCTGCGCGCTCCGGTTCTTCGGAGCCGGTAGCTTTCAAGGCATGGTGGCGACTGACAAGCACCTGTCAGTCTCCCACATGACAGTGAACCGGGCTGTCAGAGCTTTTGCGGCTGCCATCGCTTTTTTTTTTCTGTAATATTCGAAGAGGTACTAATAAGCTGGTATACAATTCAGAATGTTGGAAAACAAACAAGAACCGGGGTAATTCTTGGGTAGGGTCGAGTCTCCCGGCAGCCGGCAGAATTATTTCCCCGAAATTCTACTGGCAGTCGTCACTCATTGGCGGTCAAGTCAGTTCATCGAACGACGTGTCATCGACAGATCGTTTAATCGGCACGCGATGTAATCACATGAAAGAGATTGTCTTCCGTTAGAGGTATATACACATTAAAGGGGCGGTGCAACGATATTCAATTGGAATGTTTTTCACTTTACACGAGCTTACTGGCACTAGTGGGAATCAAGGATACTCGCACGCAACGCCACTGGCCAAGAAACTCCTTTGTTGTGCTGTAATTCCGAGGACAAAACCGAGTGTTTTCATTCAATCTCTCCTTCGCAAAACCTGATGACGTAGCTGGGCGGTAGCAGTACCGCCCAGTGACGATATTTGAATGCGGCTCATAGATTCGACCCGAGCATGGCGTGGAAACTCGATTTGGGCTCGTGATAATAAATAGCTCGAGAAGCATTCGGGTAGTGTCCTGTGTCCAATCGCTGCAATGCCGACAACAGCCGAACCGTAACAATGTCTGGAACTCAGCGCGTGTCCTGTGCCTTGCCAACCCCAGCGCGTGGCTATGATCAACATTGGCGGCATATAATCGGCTCCAGATCATGTGGCCGCTTGTTCTGGCTGCGAGTTGAGGGGGTGAACTCTGCTCGTTTTTCTTTATTTTTTTCTGCGACTTCGATTGCGTGTGGTGAGATTCAACAACAACCAACGGGTATTTCACAGGTCATTAACGTCAGGGTCCGTTCTAAGCGGTATTCGCGCAAAATACAAAAATCGTTGCATCGCCCCTTTAAGCATTTTCCCACCTTTAAACATGTAAGTGGGGTGTCCCATAACTAACACCTTAATAAGTGTAGCGATGGACCTTATAAAAGAAATGTAAACTTCACACCTTTAAAAATGTGTGATTTTTTAAACACGTTTCTTAAAACGTATGATAATGCCTACACCTTTTTATAAAGATGTAAAACTACAATACCCCTTCTCGTCAGGCACGTAGCCAAGGGGAGGGGAAGGGGGGCATAACGCCTGGCCTTCCCGCCCCCCCCCCCCCCCCCGAAATTTTCCATTTTGCTGGGGCCTCCCTCCCCCTCATAGAGCACTTTGTCATCGGCGCCCCCCCCCCCCCCCCCCCTTAAACAAAAATCTGGCTACGTGCCTGCTTCTCCTCAAGGTGTAATTACCACAGTACATTTCTTTTTTGGGGTGTACACAGTGGCACGGGACCCATTAATATGACTGAACAAATAAATTACACAAACGAGTCGCCGAAACAGCACGTTGCTTCTTGGCGAGTGTCGAGGCAATATCGTCCGAAAACCGGCTTCAATATTGGCCGGATGTACGGTTTTGCGCCTCGTCCCTACATCCGGCAGGTATGGGAGTACCGATGCAAATAAACGATTTATGTCTAATAGCACTGGCACCACTGATTTCTTAGGAGGCTAGAACGTGGATAGAGGCCTGTATTGCTGGGGTCGAGCGGCACCACCGGCAGTCATCGCTTGACACGATCTTATGCATGCTATAGGAGAAACTGGAAAACTCAATTTTATTACGTTAGTTCTCTACCATGAAACTTCTATCATGTTTCCGCAAATAACAGTTACTATTGTGGGCAAGAATATTAAACGCGTTAGAATACCAATCTTGTTTAACTAAATGTTGTGTGGTTGAGGGTCCAGGGCTACTTTGTTGGGCGTTAACTGTTATGTGTTTAATGAGACAAGGGCTACCGAGAGTTATTGTGGAGTCATCCGTGATTTCGGAGTCATCAAAGCTCAGCAAACGATAAGTTAGAATGCCTTTACTGGGGATTTTCGCATCGTTTTGACCGCTTGTACATAGTGCTTCATGGTGAAAGCTTTTTCTTTGAACTCCTGTGAGGGCTTCCGTGACAAACTAAAACTCGGAGCGTGCCGTTCAGTCGCTCGACGTGCCATTTATTTAGCAACCGAAGCAAGCGACGTCGGTAAAGTCAATCGTGCTCCGGCCAATTTTTTTTTAATCGATGTTCAAACGCTTGACGAATGTCTATTTGATCTCCAAGAACCCGACATAAACATCACAGCACGTCATAAAATGCTCGCCCTCGAGCACCGCGTACAAGCTTCCAATTTTTGCATGTTTCTTCCTTAGACTTGCGTGTATTGCCTCATGGTGTAAAAGGCCAAAGCAACAAGGACGAAAACGAAGGGAGAACTAGACAG